GATATGTGAAATATTAGTTGCTTTGGTTGCTGTTTTTTTTTTTAACTGTAGAACTGTGATACAGGAGCCACCATGTGCTTAAAACTTGCATTTCTATTTAAATCAGGGCTTAGAAAAGTAATTTAGATTATATTTTATGAGTATTCAGATGCAAAATTTGCAAATAAAAATAGATTATTAGACACACAGAATCAGAGTTTAAAACAGATTCTAACTATTGAAACTAGTATTAAAATATGTATGTATAATTAAATAGATGCTTTTTTTAAAGATTAAGGATATTTATTTTAGTTCCTGGCCAGATGATACTGTTAGTAAGCATATATCTCTATGCCTAAGTTCCTTAAGTTTCAGTTTATGAAGTATTTAGTCTGTCCTTTTGTTCCACATATGCCAATGCTAAGATATCTGGATACCCTAGAAATGTATAGAGAAATACTGACAGGGAATCTCTATAAAAGCCAAAAACTGAAGTCATTGGAACATGGCAGCTGTTTCTATGTTCTCTCCTAACGGTTTTTGTATTTCAGCGTTGTTTGTATCTATGGCAGAAGTGCAATAAGACATATATTTACACCAATAATACACTCCACAATGTTTCTTTTGTAATATGCAAATTCAGTTGCTTATGAAAGACAATATTACGTGTGAAATATTAAGTTTATTCCAGGGTATTCAAACAAAGCTTAAAAGCATTTTCCTTTTTTGGAAAAAAAAAATCAAAATTATCTCTAGAGATTGACTTTAGTTCCACTTGTAATCAAACCTATTGCTTGTAATTTGTAATAAAATGAATTGTTTATTCATAAATTGTTTGCTTGTAAAAGAAGTTGTTTCACTTCTAGTCTTTGTCATCGACAAAATGAGCAAGTTTAAACGTCTGTAAATTTATTTTTTTTCCAATGTAAACCCATTTATTTTTGCCATTCTCCCTCCTTCTGGAGTTACAAATGGATTATCAATGTGCCATCACAAAGAAAATGTAAAGCAGCCGCTGTGAAAGATTAAGTTTTATGTGTTCCTGAGCACTTAAGTCATAAATGTAGTTCTGGTGCAGTCTGTAATAGCAATTACCTCCATATCGCTGTGCTATTAGAAGAGCAAAGCCATAATAATGTAATGCACTAATTGCTCCATTTAATAGTAAAGCTTAAGGTTGTTGGTTTCTTTATATTGCTTAGGGAGTCACTGTTCTGTGTGTAGATGCTGTTGTAGATGTTATTTCTATAGTTTAAATTCAATTCATGCTGTTCTGAACATACTTGTCTTCGTGTTTTCCTAAGAACAAGGAGATTTTTATTATCTTATTAAAGAAAAATATTTATGCAGTGTGGAAAGAATCAGAAAGTAACTTTTTTGTTAGTAACTAACTTTCATGATGTTTTTAGTTGTTTGTGTTTAGTCTTTAGTTGTCTAGAGTCATGAAAAAGAACTAGACAGAAGTATAATGGTGTCCATACTTTGTGAACCAATATTACTTCTTTTACCAGAGAAAAACTGACTGAGTAATTATTGGAAATACACGAAGAGAAAATAGAAGCATAAGCATTGCCAGTGTTACAGACTGTGATTAAGCAGAATAAATACATCGGGATTTCAAATCTATTTAAATTGTTTGTAATTGAGAAATTATTTGATAATGTAAACGTAAAGTAGGTAGTTTCATATACCTTCCCTTAAAACTTATCTCCAAGTGTAGTAAGAGTTTGTCACTAAATCAGGCTGCCAGTGCATAAATACCAATTTGATTTTAGAGGTAAAGCATGGAACATTGGTTGCCACTTTTTTAGAGACTTAACAACTTCCTATTTCTAGCAATATTAATTTTTTCTATATTTTTTTATCTGTTCAGTGGAACAGCATTAACTTGGCGTAGTGAAAAGTTACCTCACTAGAACAGTGAGGGTACTTTTGCTCAGAGATGAAAACTTTAGGTTTAAATCCCACCAGGTAGGAAATGAACCTTTTTCTCTTACATCTTGGATCATTACTCTAACTACTACTATACTATATAAAGAAAGTCTTTTTCCTTTTATCGTGTTTTGGAAGTATGAACCCTTTCCATTATTTAAAGTGTGCTGTGAGAGTATCACTTTGAGATGGCCATGGTACTTCTGTTCAGGGTTGAGTGCAGAATTGGGCATTGTGGGGTGGGGGATGAAGAGGAGTTGTAAATAAGCTTCTTTTCAATGCCTACAGTTTTTCAGCTGAGTTTCTATGGTTTTTCCTGCAAGGGGACTTTTTCAGTTCCCTGATTTTCTCTTATTCTTTAGAAAATACTGTAGATTTGGAAGTGAGTTGTCAAGATTTTCAGGGTTATTCTCACAGTCTCTTTAGTTATTGAAAATAATTAAGATATCCTTAATGCACTTAATAAATCAGATGAAGAAATGGGAGAGCAATCACCTTTGAAATAGCTTGTAGATATGCAGCTCTCCTAGATTTTTCTCTATAAAAATTTAAATTTGAGATAGTTGGGTGCTCATCTTTTATGATTTTTCAGAACTGCTTTATTAACTTAATTCAGACATGAATTGAATGGAGCTTTGTTAACTTGATTCTGCACCAGTTCTGCCCTAGTGTTTAAGTAATACATTGTTCAAAATCAGATATGACTGGCAAGGTCAAACTTTAGACTGCCCTCCACTGCGAGACAGGTTTTTAATATTATGTTCAACTATGTGTCTGAGGAGCAAAAAACATTCATAAAAAGACTTGCACGACTAACTGGATGAGCTAGTATGCTGTATTTGTCCCATTTTTCCTCCAGTAACATCTTGGTAAATTTGGTCTTAGTTAGATTTTTAAAAACAAATCCATGTTTTACTGACATGACAACATTGATTAGAAATGTGTTAGGTTTTTTGTTTTCCCCCCATAAAATGATAGTGGGAAAGCTTCTAGTAACAAATGTATATTGTTGCAGCACTGAGAGGTTTTCTATGAAATGTCTTGGTCCTCTCTGATATCAGTAATGCAATATTGACAGTAGGTTGTACATGAGACGTGTTGAGGCCTGACCTGTTGGAGTGTGGACCCTGGAGTGCATTACCCTGTGCAAAGTTCAGTTGGGGTTTTTCTCTGCCAGCATCAGCTGGATTGCTTTAAATCTAGTGCCTTTCTATGGTGTGTTTCATCACATAACAAATTTGTGTGACTGGCAGCTCACTCTGAGAGCCACTTCTGTGTCATCTGGTAACCATTTAATCTACACTGGGGGGGAATATGAACCTTTGTCTTTTAATGATATAACGTGGTACTGCTTGTTCTTGAAGTAGAAGCCCTAGTAACAGAGAGAAAAACCCCAATATTTCTCCTTCTACTTTTCAGTGACTAAAAATTCTGCAAAGCAGTTTGGAATGAATAGTATTGTTCCTTCATCTGCTTGGTTCTATTAAAAGCAGTATATGCTTTCATGTGCTTTATATTGTACTTGGTTACATACAGAGACAATGGTAAATACAATGAATACCATATCTTCCTTCTCCTTACTATCTGTATAATACCTTAAGAGTGCATAACATTTTATCGAGGAAAATATTTTATTCTTTGTTCCATAGAGTTAACTATCATTATTAGACTTAATACAATATACAAAACACACAGAATGCTGTAATATTGATAAATAATGTTGTAATTCATGCTACATTCCCTGTTTGGCACTTTCTTCTTGGAGCAGTCCAGTGAAGTCTGGAAATTTGGGTACTTAGGGATGTTTAAAACAAGTTTGAAGATGATGAACAGGAATGAATTCTATTTGATTCTTTACCAAAACCTACGAAGAATCCATTGGCTAAATACCAATATTTTGTATTAATCTGCTTTGTGTTACTAATTCTGACTCTGCAGTTTCTATATGCATGTGCTCTATTTACTTACCCACTTACCCACTTACCATTAGGAAGAGTATGCTGACCAAATAGGTATTCTTTTTTCTGCATGTCCAAGTTGATAGCTTTGCCACTGGTTTAGAATAAAGTATGTCTCTCTGTATATAAATAAAGCCATGCTCTTATTTGGATTAAATTGGAGAGGTCTCTCTCCCTTTAACTTGTTTTCAGCTTTGGATTTAATCCCTATCTTTGTGTGTGTAGCAGATTTTTTTTTTTTTTTTATTGAAAAAACTGTAACCCTTTGCCTGATCTGAAAGGTTTCCTGAAAGTTTACCCTCCAAAATCTGTTATGACATATTCTGGAAATGTTTTGCTTGCTCTGTAGAAAAGTACTTTCTTTGCTCCACTTTAAAGATATTTCTTTGAAGTTTCAATCTGCAGGTGCTCCTTATTTCTATTGTTGTGGGATTTGAATTTTTGAAGTGTGTAAAGTTCAAACAGGAAATAATGAAGAAGGAACTAATAGTTCTAAAGAACTAATATTCCAGTCAGGAAAGAAAAATGAAACTACACCAGAACCATATTTGTAAATGTTCCTACAGCAGTACTAAAAGAAATATGCTTGAATGGTTAATTTGACATGGAAATACAGCATTCATCTCAAATATATGGTGAAAGGAAAGTAAATACTAGCGTTCTTAAACCAAGATGTCCAAAGTAAGACAATAATGTGTTGGGTTGCACAGCTGAAGGTGTGGTAGTTTGTCTTAAAATGCTTATGAAAAGAACTAAGTTCACTGTCATAGATGTTCCTTGAAAGTGTATGAATTGAAATCCTGTGGCTGATTTGAGAGTGTGTAAATATTAGGGCACTATTACTGATCACTTGATAACAATGATGGCAGTGCTTGTTGCTTTGGATGTTGAAACTGGCTGTGAAGGCAGAGAACTCTGTGTAATAAAGCAACCCTTCCATGAGTGTCCTGTGGCCTTGATAAATGTCAGGATAGATCAGTGTTGCTCACAGGTTCTTGGAGCACCTAGTCAACAAAAGGAGTACATGTCGATTTATTCTTGAGCAATTAAAGTATAGCTTGCATATATTATGCTGAAAACTTTTCAGATTATTTGATGTATGTTTTCATATGTTTTTGTTGTGTCTTTCAGCTTGTGACGAATGGAAGGTTTTACCAAAACCTAATCTGCATCGAGATGTCAACAGATTTGGTCACACTGCTGTTGTCAGTAACGGGTAAATGAAGTGTCTTTTAAATCTTCCTCACCACTTTTCTGAATGAATAAAACAAAAACCCCATAGCAGAAATTAGACTTTTTTGAAGTATGGTTCAATGACATAGAACTGATCTAAGTTATTAAAGGGAAAAGTAGCGCTTGTCAGAGTCTTTACTTGTCTTAGGTAATCAGTCCAGCTAATCATCATCATAAACTGCCATGCTGTGGAATCTGTTCAATGACATTTTAAGTTAACCTTCTAGTGTACTGAGGCATTTCCTCAGTATTGTGAGCTACAGTGAATTTGATATTTGGTACCAACTATAACCTTCACCTAGTTGTAGTGGGAGAAATATTTTTTTCTTTGCAGCATGCTATAATTTCTTGTTCTTCTACAATCATAAAGTAACCATGTAACTAAAATTTGTTTGGAAAAAGGCAATATTTGGATGATACTGATACAGTTATCATCTTTAAGCACTTGCAGGAGGAAAAGCCTGCCAGCATCTAGACAATAATAAGTATGTTGCTTATCCTCTAGGAAATGTAGCATTCTTTCATGTCATTTCATGTTGAGTAGAGAAGAACAGTAAAGCTTCATCATCTAGAAAAGCAGGTAGAGTGGATCTGGAGTTTTCTGGATTTGGTGGCTGAGCTCTGCTTCTTTTACCCCAATCCCTAAAGTAGGGACAAATGTCTCCTTTTTACTGGAAAAGATGTGGAAAACAGAGTTCAGGTTTAAAGGAATCTGTAGTGGTTGCTTGTGCCAGTTTTACTTTTGCTGGTTGCCAACTGGCCTAATATCTGATAGTTGCAGTGCTCTAGATCATTGTACCTCTTCTACATTATTCATCACACTAACAAACTCAGTATTAAGTATATGTGGGCCACTTAACAGGTCCTCTGCCTAGGGATATTGTATAGGTCAGAAATAACAGAGGTAATAAGTAACACTACAAATAAGAGTGTGACTGCATTTAACAAAAATAGCACTAGGTTGTAAGTCTGTACACAGAGCACTTGACATTAATCAATGAACAGATTTATTCATTAAGAGAAAATTGCTTGGAATTAATGAATTCAGCAAGTGATAGTTTTTCATTCTGATTTGTGCCTTTTATGACGTCTCAGCTATGTCTGATACTTCAAGAACTGTCACTCTGAATGAATTATACTCAAGGTGAAAATTCCTTTTTTTTCTTTTTATGTACAAAAAAGTGCAATGCAAGATACTTTCCAGATTTCTGCTATTGGTAACTCTATGATTAATTCTGTTATAAGATTATATGATACAAGAGATACACAGGTTTTCTATTACTATCTTTTACCCAAGATTTTTTGTAATTTTAAATGATAAGATTAAGGACTCAAGGTCTTTGTTTTGATGTCAGCAGCTAGTGCACCAGAAATATTACCAAAAAAAAATCCATCTTGCCAATTTTTGCTGGCTGTCTTTGAAATCTTTGTGAAGAAAAATGTTCTTGTATTTCATGCTCTGTTCTCATTACTGAGCTGCAAAAATGAAGAGTTTCCTCCAAAACTCTTCATTGTTCTTTCCAAAAATTTGGTGTATGCCACTTCCTAATACATACATCACAGTGAGCTTCCAGCAATTTTTTTGTTAGTCTAAACTTCTATGGAGAAATAAATTGAAAAACTAATAATTAAAGGAACCACTGACAGAGTGTTTATTAGAAAAAGATGGAGAAAGTTTTTTATAATATTATGTAGGGTTTTAAATTGTATATCAAGACAGATAAATCAATACAATATGTCTACAGTAACAGTTATATTTAACTGATTTTTCCTAATAGGTCCATGTATATATTTGGGGGTTTTTCAAGTGTTCTATTGAATGACATCCTCGTGTACAAGCCTCCAAACTGTGAGGCATTCAGAGATGAAGAGCTGTGTAAAAATGCTCGTCCAGGAATAAGATGCCTGTGGAATAAAAAACACTGTGAATCTTGGGAATCTGGACATGCTAATAACATCCTTAGAGCAAAATGTCCTAAGAAAACAGGTAAGTGAATTCCAGTCTTTTAATGTCAGATTTGCACTGTAATGTAGGAGGTGGGGGGTGGGAAGTGGTGGTGGACAACCCCCACACGACTCCCAAAAAATGTAACCACGTGGAACCAGTGACTGGAATGTTAAGACTGTTCCTCTCTGGAAATACCCAGTGTAAGAGATTTATAGATGATTTTTTTTTAAAAAATCATTCAGTTCTGGAATCTTTTTGTATTTTAAATACAGGGAAGTAGGTGCAAAAGAGCACAAGTTTAAGGTGCTGAGGGAAAGCATAACAGCAGTCAGAGCACAAATGGTCACTGCAGGTGATCCCTGGCATTACAGGCACATGAAACTCGTACCTGTATGTGTCAATAAGTGAAAAGGAAAGCAAGGCTGCTTCAAATAGATTGTCTATCAAACAGCAGCATTTGTACAGAAGAATATAGCGCAGTCTCAGCTGGAAAAAAACTTGAGACAAACAATCCCTTTGTTGCAGTATGTCACAATGGGTTCAAGTTTGTCATATGAATTTCTATCCTGTATTGTTTGAAAGAGCAATTTAGTGTTGTGAATAACTGTACAACTTATTCCTAAAGCATTTTGGCTTGTCATAAATAAATTGCTTGTGAAAGTGTTGTTCTTATGCGTCACACGAACAGAATATTTATCGCTGCTACATGAACCTACTACTTTTTCTGTGCATCTTTCCTTTCAACACAGTGTAAAATTGCTTTTGGCTGTGTGCTGTATGTACAAACTGCCATACAATTAAACTGGCAGTCTATGTTAATGCTTATTGAAGAGTTATTAGCACTGCTATTAATCAACACTTCAAGACAGTTTATTTTCCTGTTAGCTTTTGCTAAGTTAGTTTCTGGACTAGCTATAAAGTTGCAAACTCATAAAATAAAAGGTGCATGATATAACAAAAATGTTATCCAGGTGAAGTTCTCTGGAAAACTACTTCTGTACATTTTCATAACATTTAAAGATCTAAAGCGTAATGAGTTTCATATATATATATAAAAAATAAAAGTCTTGAGGCATTAAATTCAATACAGATGAAAGTGGATCTTATAAAAAGCTGATCATATCAACAGGTGCTTAAAAAACCCTGAAACAAAACAAGGCACAGACAGAAAGGCTGAAGGAAAATAAAAAAGTTAGAGCAGTTTCTAAAGTACAGCTGCTGCAGTGGCAATAAACTACAACTCAACTTGCAAGACGTGAGGTCTGTAGAATTCCAGTTCCAAAGAAGTTATGTGAACAGCACTGCTTCAATGCTGTCAAATTCTTCTGGTTTCAGGCGGTAATTTTTTGCCAAAAGCCAATTTTTCTTATATTATTTTAAATCACTTGGCTCAATTTTTACCTGGTTGAGAATATCATCTGAGAAACTGCTGATGGTCAATATTAAAGGATAAGCAGAAATTTTAGTGAGTTTTCAAAAGATTGATTCTTGGATGGAAAGGCTTCCCTGGCAAGAGAATCTCGTAAACCTGCATGACCCTGAGACTAAAGGAGCCAAACCAAACAGGAGTTAAACACAGTAATTAGGGTAGGAAATGGTACAAATTCTCCTATTTTGGGTCATGGTGATGTTTCAGATTTTTATCTCCTTTAAACAGAAGTAACAATTTGTGTCTCAATTTTTTTTAAATAATCTGAATTTTAGTCCCAGTATTAGGAATTTAACATGAAGTCTTTCTCAAACATGTTTTGTAGAGAAGGATAGAACTCTAACTTACTATAAAATGTCCATGTGTTGCTAATATCTGTCTTAGATTTTTTTTTTATTTACTATTTTTGTCTTCTTATCTTCTTGCATAGCCATCTAATATTTTTATCAGAAACGTGCATCTTAAGAGAATCGTTCTTCTGTGTTAAAGTGAAGAAAGAATAGTTGAAAAACTTCTTCCTACTCCTAATTTATGCATTGTGCTATGAGAGCTTGTATGCTGTATATCAGTGAATATTCCTTCAGTTGATATGAAACTTGTGAGCCTTCAGATACAGTTGTTACTAAAGGAATTTTTAAAGGAGTAAATCTTATTAACTGAATAGAATTAATTTCCTGCAGTAACTTAAACCTTTAAGAATGGTTAGAATTCAAATGGAGGATGTAATGGGAAAAGCTCTAGGCAAGTGTTTAAAAGGTGGTATTATTCTCCTTTTGTGGGACCTTTCTTTTTGACTGTCACTTGTGTTCCAGCTGCTGCAGACGACAGATGTTACCGGTACGCGGACTGTGCGAGCTGCACTGCCAACACAAACGGGTGCCAATGGTGTGATGACAAGAAGTGCATTTCAGCAAATAGTAACTGTAGCATGGTGAGTCTTTGCAAATCTTTGAGCATGTTATCAGTACTGTTCCTTTTCTTAGTATTGTAGAATAATACTTACTTGTTTTGAGCACGAGCATCAACATGTTTGTCAGGCTTTTGCAGTAAAAATATTGCAGAAGGCAAAAAAAATCTAGGTCAGGGTAAACAAAATTTTTCTTTAGGTTTGTGTTTAGCCCATTGTATATTTCTTAGGAAAATATCATTATCTCCTAATTAATGACATTTGAAAGGTCACAGAGTCCATTATTAACTTGTGGTTTTGCATATGTGGGGTACAGTACACAGGCAGAAACTGTGGAAACCCGTGAAGGGTGGCTGTTTGTTTTTTTCCTTTCATACAGAACTGGGTCAGTCTCATTAGTCTTGGTATTCCGATCATTGGTCATCATAGAAATTTTTTTCTTTAAGTCATGGACTTGTCATCTCGTTAAAGGAATATGAGCCTCTGTAACCACGAGAGTAACTGGCTTGTGATGATTTGGTGAGATTGTTCTGATGTTTTTAAGGACAAGCTATCAGATCCCGTAGATTCAAGCAAGTTTATAGTTTTCTCTTTTTAATATTGCTTAGTTTTGTACTTCATGTTGTTGTTGACCGCCTGCTGCATCTCTTGCGTATTCATTTGATTTTTGACAAGCTTGTAAATAGTATTTTAGCTTTATAAATTTTGCGTTCTTATACTTTTCAGGTAGCTGCAGACACATGGTTGTACTTGAGTTCAAAATCCTTTCTTTACACACTTCCATTAGTAAAAGTAGCTTGCTCTCTGGCTTGAACCTGTTGCAAATCAATCTTGTTCTCCAGACAGACAAATTAGGGTGTGAGTTGGATTGACTCTGACTCAAATCTTGCCCATTTAGAGTGAGAACAGCCAGTTCTAATCACTGGCATTTGTAGCTAGTCACTACTAATAAAAGCAATGCAGACACAAATTCATCAGTGGCCACGTTATAAGTCTGTCAGAGGGATTTCACATTCCAGGCACTAATGGTTAGTTTCCTTTGTGATCTTCAAGGGCTCTTCTTTTCCTGACACATTGTACTATATTAGGTACTAATTTTCTAACCGTGGTTTTCAACTCCTGAGCAAGGAACAGTTGCTAAGGAGCAGACCATCTTCATCCCGTAATAAATATGAAGCACTCAGTATTTTAGCACAAGTTTCTCAGTTCAGTGTCCTTCTCTGACAACCTTTCATGACTAAGATTGTCAGCTTAATTAGCAACTGATGCACTGGTTTTCTCTGTATCATTTCCTGTCTTTTATTCAGGCTTTGAAGTGGATAGGAGAGGCTGTTAGTGCAGTTACTGAAGAATGGGCTAGTGAAGATTCATCAAAATGATTTCTTAAAAGAGGCACCCTCACAAATTGGAGGTGGCTGTTGCAAAATTAGTCTATTGGCCATGAGATGATGGAGGAAGGATTTTGCATCTTCAATATACACCCACCAAAATAGCATAAACAGAATGGTTCCATGTGAAGAAACAGAATGGATCAGGCTGATTATCCATTTTCATAGACTGCTACTTCTGCACTAGGCCCACAAAATGAAAATGTTGTGACAGCACTGTGATAATATGGGATAACAAGCTGTAGACTCAGAAATATCACAAGGAGAAAGCCCCATTTTTGCAGCTGTACGAGGGCCTTGATTTATGACTTAGATCATAGAACTCCAGATGAGACAGACAATAACATTTTAGAATCTGCTGCTTTCACCCTGTGGAAACTGGCCAGTGTACTAAAGATATGCTGTCAACCAGTTTGGCATTGGCATCATGGTCACAGATTTTTTGAAAAACAATGATTGCTCTGCTGTTTGGAAGGCCTGTAAAATATGAAAATTTCCCTGAAATAATTCTATTTGGACAGATGGGCTTCATAAGCAGTGATAATATGCATTGATGATGCACATATACCTGCCTATATTCACCACCTGATGTGAGTCAGAATGTTAACAGGACACTATAGTCCTCTACTGTGCACACTTACAGATCATCAAGGTATATGTCATACTCATATCTGATGTAATTGCAAGCAGAGGCTTGCAATGCCAGGTTGTTCTGGAGGTCTGACTCATTTCAGCACTGGAAAGCTGCTTTGTTTTTCTCTCAGTAAAACTCACAGAAGTGGGATACTTCTGCATACTATGTTGGCCCTGTCATGTCTGATGCAAATGTTGAGGGGTGAATGATCTCTTGCCCCACTGGGAAATAGTTTAAAGAAGCAGAGTGGTTTAAGACGGTACTGAAATTTGAATAGTGAGTAGATTGGAGAGCAACCTAGCAGTAGTGCCTTGTTGGCTGTTTTTGACCATTAATTAAAGGGTTTTTTCTGTTGTAAAAAGGATTTTGAAGATTGCCTTGAGAAATTACACCAGACTGCTTACAGTGGCTTTATATAATACACTGAAGTTAAACCAAGAACAAAAAATTATTTAATTTTTATCTTTGAGATTGATGGAGCTAAAAAAGGGAACATTACCTATTCTCCCTTTTTTCAAAAATATGCAAATACAGATACTTCTTTGCCATAGGGGCAAAAGCAACTATAATACTGTCATTAATAGTGTCTCTTGCCAAGTACAGACTTCCTGAAATATCACATATTGATATCTTTATCGTTTCCTCTTTCAGGTTCTTTCAGGGAGCCTCTTGCATCTAACCCAGGGCCATTTTCAGCTTTAAAACATAGAATATTGTATAAGACTTTGTCACAAAGAAGGAACTGATGATCAATGTACTTACTCTTTTTCTCCCGCTCATTGCCTGTCTATATCAGGAATGGAAATTTAAACAGGAATATTTTGATTGACTTGTAAAACCTAATATTTCTGCATAGGTGTCCCTCTAAGCACTACACACCACTCTGTCTTCTTCTAAAATTGGGAGAAACAGCTTTCTGTCATGCTGATATCTGCTTTTTTTTTTTTAAGATTTTTTGTCTCACATCTTCCTTCCTTTTTTTTTTCTCCAAAGTTCTGTGTCCTGCTTGTGATATATTTCTGATTTTTGTGGAGTAGATTATGCTGACTTTTACAAGCAGTTCACTGTCCTTAAGTCTGTTGCATTGATTTTGCATTTTGACACTTTCGTTTGTACTCTGTAATATCCTAAGTGTCTTCCTGGTCCTCACTAGTTCTGAAGCATTTTGCCTATTTCTTTATATAGACAAAAATCTCCAGATCTGAATCTGCTTAATATGTTTATGAAACTGTATTCACTTTGTATGTCTGCATATGTCTCACATCTTGTGAGAATGATACTCCCTTACTGATGTTGTGCAGAAACTTGACTATACTTAAAATTTATAATGGAAATATTCTCAGAAGTCCTTACCAAAAAAATAAAAGAAAAAAAGAAAAAGCTTTGGGGAGAGATCAATTTTATTTTAGATTGCTGCACCTTTACAAGGTGTCATTTTTCTTGAGATATAGTTGCATGGAAAAATAAACAAAGGATTGATCTGCTCCTCAGGGAGGAGCTGCCCTATGGTAGCAAAATCTTTTTGTACCTTATGAGAAATAAAATGGTAAATGACTGAAGAGGGCTGACCAATTGCAACAAAATGCGAAGTTTCCTTTACTAAGGAAGACCTGAGAAAGCTTGAATATTAGAGTAAAAAATTTGCTTTATCCTTTTTTTTTTTTTTCCTCTTCAGAAATGGAACCAAATAGTAGTTGATAAAGTGGCAGAGAGCCCCAATATGTTGAGTAGTCTTTTTTATAAGGATAGCAATATATTAAGTCCACATTCTGGCCATAAAGCTGTTTTGTTTTTTTCAGGCATATGTAGGCACTTTTGAAAATTGTGATTGCATTGAAATCCTGAAAGTACAGGAGTGCTTTTTGCATGCCAGCCTTCCTTAAACTGTGCTTATGCAAGAGATGGTGAGCTGGGTTTGGCCATGTACCATGCCACTTACAGTTCCAATTTGCTCAAGTGCTGATAGACTTATAGGCTGAAAAATGTAAAAATATTTATCTTGTGCACATGTAAGTTGTTACTGGATGATATTTTGACTTCCTTTTGATATTTATGATGTGAAAGAACTTTAAAGGTTTTCCCTTTTTTGTCTTTTATTTTACCTTTTTTTTTTTTTAATTTCCCTAACCCACTTCTTTGTCTCCTTCCTCACCCTTTTCTTTGGGAAACGACTGGAAATGCTTGCACTAGTTACTAAAAGAAATTGATTTTGATTCTTTATACCCTCAAAATAACTCTTCCTATTTCTACACCAAACTCCACATGCAAACAGCAATCCTGAGGGGTGCACTTCAGGAACTAATAAAGAATGTCTTCCTTATCCCATTGTCTTACTCCTCTACAGTAAAAACTGAAGTAATCAGTGGAGATGGGGTAGCTATAACAATGTGCTCCACTGGTTGTCTACATTGTTAGCCTATAATCCTTCAGTTTATAGGAATATTAACTGCCACACTAAAAGATTGCAAATAAAGTAACTTGTCCCCTTAATTACTTAAGGAAAGTATTCTGCAGGCTTGAACTGCAGCAGTAATATAATACTAAACTTTACTTGGAAAGTAGTGTTTTCCTTTCAAAACCATAGAATTGCTTGCAAATAAATTGAAAAACCCCACTTATAAAATTTCAGCTCTTATTCTGACTCTTCAGATTAAGCTTGTTATAAAATCTACTCTTTTACTATAACACACATAGGGGAGGGCAGAGTAAAAGGAGAACACTTACTCAAATGTGATCAAGAACACTTGGCAATAGCATGTGAACATAATATCTTTTTGGTCAGAGTATGGTCTGTGATGTGTCTTTTCAAGTGGAGTACATGTGATTTTTCCTGTTTGGAGAGACTGTGATGGGAAGAGGCACAGCCGAAGTGTTTCTGCATCCACTCTGTATTACATTTTTGAAAGCCTTATTGCTTTCAGAAGCTCCAAAAGGGACATGTTTCTTCTCTGAGACCAACCACACTCTTACCCCCAGTACCAGTCTCTGAATTTCATTGTCTTGGTCTCCACACATGCAATGTGATAAAGCCCCAGCTGATGTCAGTTATCTAAATACAACACAAATTGGTATGTGATGTATAAGTATTGTATATCTGAGTGTGGCAACATAAACTAAGCATCGTTGAACCCATGAAGGGTATGATAAAGAACATCCTCTTTAGGGATATGGGTTCCTAGAGGATGCTTCAAAGAAAGCTATAGTCCTACATTGTTAAATATTTTTATACAGTGCCTTAAAGACAAGAATAATTTTCTTTTTGTAATGCTCGCATCGCTTCCAGAAAGTTATTGCCCTCTTTCATGATGGGAGTCCTTGGGTGATACACTAATACAAATAATAATAATTACAGCAATCTGCCAACATTTGAGGAATTCAAAGAATAGTCAAGAGGAGATGTATAAAGTAGTAGAAGGAAATATGAATAGAATCAAATTTATTACTGAGGAGTATCCAGTGGCAAGTTTTGGGAGTAGTTTCAGAGAAATAATACAAATCTACAAGTTAATAATTTACAGTTGGACTAGACAAACTAGACAAGGTGTACTGTTAACCCGAAAAGTCCAGGGGGAGGAAAGAGGTACATAATTGAATAGCAATTTCTGAGATTCTAAGATAAACTCCTGTAGTATTTTCATTCTACAGTAAATATTCAGAAAAATCACTGTAGTCCGTAAGTCTGTCTATATATCACCATATCAGGGTCACTACTTAAAAGATCTAAGTAAATCAGACATAAGAAGGAAGCTTTATACAGAACATGATTTACTCATATTTTGGTGTGTGAACATTATAAATATCCTAGAGCAATATAGCACTTCTGTAACAGATGGGCTGTCATCTTTTTAAATTTCATTGAGTTTGGTAGCTTAAGTTATAACCTTAATATTGTGTTAATATGAGTTACCTATTGGATTCACATCTACATTGAACTAATGAGATTTTCAGGCAAGCAATGTTTAAATTGGATTTAAGGGAAATAAGTGCTGGGAATAAGGGAATACAAGAAGGAACATTATTATAGAATAGTCACTACTACTTCGAATTTTATTTTAAACATTAAATAACCAGCACATAACAAGCTTCATGATTAGAAAGTAAAATAACAAATATCTTGGTTTAGTTGGAAAATTGTAATCTGTGTGTAATACCACTGAAGAGCATGTAATTTTAAAAAAAATCTGAATGTTAAGGATATGTCAACATGAAGTGTTAAAGGTGAGTATTAGTTGAGATATTGTAGGGGAGCAGATGATGGTTACTTAGGCTCTAAAATTCACTTCAAAGCATCTCTCAGGAGTTTTGTGAGTGTGCTTCACGATGGAGTGGAACTGAGCGTGGGTTTGTACCAAAGGTTTTTGTGCTTTACTGTCTGTATGCATTTATTGGCGTAGATAGACATTCTGTTACTTGATGGCATCATCTTTGGCTCTGTTTCGTACTGTGGTGTCGATGCTTTCTACTAGAACTGCTTCTCTGGTTCTTTTTGCCTCACAGTAGCCATTTTTATAGGACAAAAAAATAGTGAGTACCTTTTATAATAAGCTTACTGGTGAGCATCTGATCCAATAAAAGCAAAAAATTAAAATACAATAAGGTCCCTAAACAGCAGTGTTCTTCACCAGGAATGAAGCTGGTTCTGTGTGAGATTGAGAATTCATTATAACGATTGCATTATTTCAGGACTTTGAAAAAAAAATAAAAATAAAAGGAGACTTTTTGCCTCCCCCTCTTCCCTATCAGTGTCCATATTCCAGTACCAGCAACTGTGTAGCTTACTGTCATACTGTCCCTTAATATGTTGTTTAATCATACTCCAGGAGACTATTAGAATGGAAAGCAACCAAAATTTTCAGTAAATCATGCACTTGCAATCCAAGTGCAATCCATTTTTGCTGCTATGCATTAATTTAATCTTTTGTTATTAGAGAGAGACAAGAGTTGTGAGGGTTTGACAAGAAGGACTTGCAGAGGTCCCTTCCAATCTCAACCACTCTGTGGTTCTGTGAGTATAAAGCTGTCTTGCATTAGGACTTACTTCTAATTATTACTGTGAAATTAAGTTGGTAGAGACAGCCTTATGGATAAGCTGATGCACTGGCTGAGGATTTAGAGCAGTTCATTAAGTACAATATCAATATCATGTCTTAATTAAAAGTGCTATGCACAGGGAAGAAAGATTTGTATCCAAAATGCCGAACTTGGAAAGGGAGACTTCAGTTTTCAGGAAAAAAAGAAAAAAACCCCACCAAACCCACCAAACCCCCCAAGTAATAATTCCTTCAGTGTTACTGCTTTGCTTGTATACTGAGGTAACAGAGATATAATGTTATCCCTGGTTTTATGTCATGTGTAGAGCATATTCTTGCAGCTTTGGTGAATGATATGTAATTATTTTGTGCCTTGTGCATTTTTAAGTTCTGTTTGACTATTATACTTTCTTTAACCTGCATAGGATGAAATAATTTAGTGAGAGTGTAATTATCTTAGAAACAGAGATTTAGTTTAGTTGTTTAAGCTCTTACTGGTCTCTGTACAGGGAATTGACCTCTTCAAAGTACTGTTTGACACTCATAGTTGTGTAGAACAGATGGGGTGATTTGTGCTCTAGAGATGCGTTTTTTACTTTGAGCAACTGCTAAAGGAATCTGGACAAAGAGCTTAAATTCAGCCTGGCTTTTAGGTGGCCATGATTTTCTGGGAGGGATCCACCTGCTCTGTATTTCAGTCTTTTTAATAGTTTGACTTATGCTTGAGATCCTGTTTTGTCCGTTTTATCTTTATAGTCAGTTAAAAACTACACCAAATGTCACGTGAGAAATGAACAGATCTGCAATAAGTTGACCAGCTGCAAGAGCTGCTCCCTGCACCTGAACTGCCAGTGGGACCAGAGGCAGCAGGAGTGCCAGGCGCTACCTGGTAAGGGCTGTGGGGTGGCCATGCTGCTTTTCAGAGTTGATTTCAAAACTGAATAAACCTTGTTTGCTGTTGCCAAAGAATATTGATTCAATGAGTAGACCTGGATTTGTTTTATTTGTTCTGACTGGCCTTGTCTGTCTGTGCCTGTACAGGTGAACACAGATGTAATTACACCACTGTTTGGGTTATCAATGCTACCTTTAATCTGGTTAGGAGGGATAATAACATTAGCCAAGGCATAATGGCATGTGCCTCTGTAAAAGCCAGTGACAAGCTCCAGCCTGTGGTGACCACTGAGTGCAGAGCTGAATTGCTATACTGAGCGTTTTACTGTTACATATGTACTGACATTGTTACTTTTGCTAGCTGGTTTTACTTTATAAATTGTAATTCAATTATACTTCAATTTTCCTGTGCAGATAGGGCCCAAGATCTAGTTTCTTGATTGTCTAATGTTGATACTACTATGAAAGCAGTGAATATTAAAATGCTAATACGAAATATTCTCAGAAGGTGACTGTTAAGATTCTGAAATAATATTTATTCTGTAATTTATATTCATAACTACATATATGCGGTTAGATGTCAGAACCTTTTCCATTTGATCTTTATGTCCAGATGAAATTAATGAACACATTTTTTTTACAGAGATTATTCATTAAATAATTTCAATCAGTTTATTCTGTGCAGTTTAAAACTGAATATGTGCATTCTTTGTAAAGGTTGACTATAACAGTTGCTCCGAATTACTTACTTTTCTTTTAATAGTTACCTGAGTGTGAATAAAGCTGTAAAATGTTGAAGAGGAAATGTTCTTAAGATATTATCAGAATTTCCTCTCATTCTAATTGCGTTTGTATTTAGGCAAATATAAATGCGGAGATAGGATGATAAAGGTGGGGTAAAGTAGTGATCTCTTAATTCTACATAAAACTGAAGTAAAGGGATGGGTTAAAACACTATTATTTATGTACATAATCTAATCTTAGTGTTGTGCTCAATTCTGAGCAGGGAAGAAATGTTGACAAAAGAATATTGTTATGCTGAAACTTAGCATATATCTTTTAAAAACGTAAAAAATAATTATAAGTTTCTTTCCATAAAAATACACTAATTCGTATGATGCTACTTGGTATTTCAGAATTTATGTGACATGAAAGGGAAAATTGAGTGTGGGATGTATTTGATTTATGATCTTGGGAAGTTAAAATTCAGACTCCCTTGGGTTTTTTAGAAGTTTTTTCAGATCAACTTTAATCATATGCTTTTTGCGCTAGCTCATCTCTGTGGAGAAAGATGGAGTCATATTGGAGATGCCTGCCTCCACATAAATTCTAGTCGTGAAAGCTATGACAATGCTAAGCTGTATTGCTACAACTTAAGTGGAAATCTTGCCTCATTAACAACCTCAAAAGAAGTGGAATTTGTTCTGGATGAAATACAGAAGTATACACTTCAGGTAACTTGAGTAACTGTAATTGATGCTTATGTGAAATAAATTTTCTTGGAGAAATCTGTTTTAGGCTTTTGTCCAAAGACAGAAAAGTTTATGTCTTCAAAGAAATGTAACATGGTGTTAAAGACTGGTATCAGTGATGTGTAGGTATTAAGCAAATCTCATGTTTAATGCTAATGACACAGCAGTTCTCAAGTGTTTCTCCTTACCTGATTTAAATGTTAAAAGTTACTGTTTACCTGTGAGAGAATATTTGCTCAAGAGAATGAGTGGATCACTTTGGTGTCCTAGTTTCAGCTGTGATAGAGTTAATTTTCTTTTTGGTGGCTGGTACAGTGCTGTGTGTTGGATTTAGTACAAGAATAATGCTGTTCAGGAGAGGTGCTTGAGGACTGAGAAAAAGCAAATATCACCTTGGTCTTCAGAAAGGGTAAGAAAGAGGTCCCAGGGAACTACCAGTCAGTCAGTCTCACCTTAATCCCTGGAAAGTTGATGGCAGTGCTTCGCTCTGGAGGGCATCAATATCTGCATGGATGACAAGTAGGTGATCAGGAGTAGCCAGCATGGATTCAGTAAAGGTAAATCATGGTTGACAAACCTGATTGCCTTGTATGATGGAACAGTTACCTCAGTGGCTGAGGGCAGAGCAGTGGATATTGTCTTCCTGGTCTCCAGCAACGCTTTTGATGCTGTCTCTCACAACATCCCCATGGGCAAACTCAGGAAGTGTTTCGCTGGGGTTTTATTCCTCTCTCATTTTCATTACTATTATTATAATAATATTTTTGTTTAGTTATTAAACAGTTCTTATCTCAACCCATGAGACTTACTTTTTCTTTCCAGTTCTCCTCTGTGACAGAGTTGGGGGAGGTCAGCAAGTGGCTGAGTGGTACTTAGTTGCCTGCTGTGGTTTTACCATGAATTGTCGGAAATCCCACCCCTAAATATACTGTGACAAGAGGAATCAAAATACTCTTCACTAACAGAGAAAACCTGACTTTTCACACCAGTGTCCATAAAAGTGCTCAAAGGATTGGTTTTGGGTGGTGAATAGCTAGGCTGCAAGCCGTCAAGGACAGCGAGGCACTAAAGATGTAAACTTCTCCAGAAAAGCCCAGCTTCCTGCATAACTGGCATTTGGGATCAAAGGGTCACAGAGAAGCTGTGCTAGTATGTGAAATGTAGAAATTCTCTGCATAGCAGCAGTGGAATTAGCAGGAACTAATTAACTTTCTCTGATGATGGTGAGGGAGAGAGAGGGCTGAAAACTCTTCCATCCCTCTGGCAAATACAGCAAGCTACCATCAGAATATTCCTTAGAAAAGTGATCCATATTAATTTTGTTAACTGTGGGACAAGAGAAGAGAAGATTAGTTACCTGTTCCTGGTGGTCAGGTTCAGTGTTTTAGCAGTTTAATATTCAAATTCTTATAGCTGTTTTTAAACATAATTGGTGCAAGTATATGAAATATAAGTATGCTCAAAAATGTCAAACCCAGCAGTGTACTCTTAGATGGGATGTCTTAGCAGAGTAAGATTCCATTACAAGCAAATCAGTTTTTCTTAGCAAATGGCATTTTTAGAAGTGTGTATTTTGTTTTGTAAAAGAAGCAGCATTCCTTCGTCTGTATAAAATACTCAAATTTTAAAGTAGCTTAGGATTTTACAGTTACAGGACAATGAAACATAATTGTGAATAATAATTAAAGCTTATATTAAACTGAGGACCCCTGGTGGTCTAGTGGTTAGGATGCAGCATTCTCACCGCCGCGGCCTGGGTTCGATTCCCGGTCAGGGAACTCCTCCGGGCAGATGGAGCTCGTCAGCCCTGTAAGGCAATCCATCTAAGAGAAGGTCACTCT